ATGTAGGAATCATTGGGTTTTCGTTACCTAAGAATGAGATGTTTATATTTACAGACACCACGGGTCGCCTTCAATGGGGTCTGCTATGTTTCTACTGTAGCCCAGAATGGACAAACCAAACACTGGCTGTAGATAGGGCCTTTCACGGTTTTCACACATTTCGCGGCCACCGTAGTTTCTTCTAAACACTTCTCATTCCCAAGTCATCAAATACAGAAGCCAGCCGTGTTCAGTGAGTTGCAATCAGCAACTTTACCGCTACATACCATTAAATCCTACACACCAGCCCATTAAAATCTACGCCACGTTTTCTCAGAGTCATCACCTAGTGGCCGTGGTTGAACTACTTCAGCTTAAAGCACGTCACACATGAAAGATTCAAAGTTCTTCAAAGAATGCAGCATCTACAAAATCATTGGTAACTACGGTATGGTTAAGTTCAGGGAAACATCATGGTTACAGTAAAAATAATCAATTGGGACGTGAACTCTGACCTCCACTCCCATACTTCCCCTGTACAGTGAATAAAGGGCACTGCTCCCCACGCTGGACATAAATCATGCACTACAGAAAATCCTCCAGTTTTAAATGTTCTTACTTGGGACGAGTCAAATGGCTTATGACAGTACAGTGTGTATTTCACCAGGTAGCTTTATTAGCTCATCAATAAGCTTATACTATCCAAGTCTAATAACCACCAGCTGGCTAACCTTTAGGTTTAATAACCGATGAGAACAGACTGTGTTGTTGCTTTAGAGAAGCTCATATAAACGGGGAAAGTTTGTAACCAAACTTCAAAGAATCAAATTTTTGTTTTCTGACCTTTGCCTATCTTCCTCTCATACATACTGTGTGTGTGTGTGTGTGTGTGTTGTCCTTGAGCAATGCCACTGCTTCTGATCCAAGACCGTAGGCCTATTTACGGTTTATCTCTCGCTGACTGATGAACCTGGTTTTGCCAGCTGTCTTGTGGCCATGGCAACCAACAAACACGTAAATACATAGCACCACGCAGTATTCTCAATAACTTTCACTTTTGGAAAATTATTTTTAACAACCGTCTACAGAGCCTTCCTTGTCAGATTGTAAAACAAATCACATTTGGAAAACAAACACAAAGAAAACATCAATGAAAAAGAACCGGACTGAGGAAACACAATCTGCAAAGCCACTGGGACAGATGTTTCAGTGTCAAACAGCTGGACACAGTTAGTCTTCAGCATTATTAACTGAAACCTTCTCAAACAAGTCTTCCAGTTTGAACATGATGTCTTGATTTTGGGACACATTTGTATTTTTCCCGAGCTTGTGTGCTTCCCATTCAAGACAAATGGATGTTCAGCAGGCCAAAGTCACTGGCAAACTGCCACTGGTGGACACAAACACATACATACACAGACTGCCTGGAGCATTAAAGTATCGCACTAACGTGGGTTTTCCCCTTTCATGTCGGAAGTGTCCACTCAGCACTTTTCTTCTCATCATGCTCTTCCCCTGGAACCAATTACAGCGCTGACATGTCTCAATTTGTTTTACACACTGACTGTACATCAGAGGAGGCGGGGTAGGTACAGTCAGACGGCAGCAGTGTGTGTCATTGTTGATCGTTTGTGTTTGTTGCGTACAGTCACTGTGT